CTCCCCAGTGACCCGCCCGGCGGGGAGGGGCTTCCCCCGGGATCCCCTGCCCCAGTGACCCGCCTCTAGGGGGAGGGGCTTCGCCGGGATCCCCCTCCCCAGTGACCCGCCTCTAGGGGGAGGGGCTTCCCGGGGATTTCCCCCCCCCTCCAGTGAGTCAGTGACCTGCCTTCAGAGAAGGGCTTCCCCCCGGGAATCCCTGTTCCCTAGGCTTCCCAAGCCCCAAAGGGAATCTCCCTCCTCTTTCTGGGCCCCCCCACCCCCAGTAGGCGGGGTTTCCCTTTTGATCCCTCCAAAAAAGCCCCTCCCCCCTGACATTTTCCATCCTTCCCTCTCCTCTAGGGGGAGCCAGGCGTCTCTCCCCAGGCCCCACCCACTGCCCCTCTCTGGGATCCCATGCCGCTCCTAACTTCCTTATGGGGACATCCTTAGGGCCCCCTCTGCCCAGAGATCCCCTCGCACTGGGGACCCCCTCCAGAGATTCCCCATCAACCCCCCTGCCTGCTGATCCCCCCAGAGTGTTACCCCCAAGTCCCCCACTACTTGGGACTCCCTTCAAGATTCCCCACCCTCTCCTGACACATGGGGATACATCAGGGATACCCTAGGAACCCCACCCACCCCCAGATCAACTCACACAGCCCTGTCCAAGGAAGGGCTGCCTTCTCATCCATCCCCCGCATCGTTCCTGCCCCCGCTGCATCCCTGGGCTCCCCTCCATCACCCCCAGGCCCCACTGCATCCCCTCCCCATGGCCCCGAGCTCCCTTCCGCAGCCTCGCACCCCAGGCCCGCCCTGCTCCTTGCCTCTTGACCACGGCGCCCCCCTGACTACAGCTGGCAAAGTCTCAAGAATACCCACTTTGAAGCTATTTAAACCTTCCCGTTGCTGTCTGATGCAGGCTAATGGCACCGTGGTTTTAACCAGGTCTTAAGCTAGCAGGCTCACCTCTTCTCCAGGGAGCGCGCTGCTCTCCTGAATCACAGCTCTCCTGCCTAGGGAGATCCGAGAGCACAGGCGTCTCACCGGCCTTAGCCCATTTTTATTAAATTCTCTGTCTCCCTCCCAGAGGTCAGAGCTGGCAAAGTTAGCCACAGCTCCCTCTGCCAACCCCTGAAGTCTTTGACTCCAGGGTAGTTACGTTAACCTAGGTGGATCGGGGATTGAACGTGGGAGCCTCGTACCCTGCTCAAGGGGAGCACATGAGTAACACTTTCCAGGGCCCTCTCTTGGGCTGGGGTCCTGGGATGAGGTGTTCACCCCATACTAGCCCTGAAGGGGTTAAGGTGGCTCAGACAGGGCCTATTAACCATATAGGCCGCATCCTGGGGGGAGAGCCAGGGCCTGATACAGGCTAACGGATGATGAAACAGGCTGAGCTTGTATAAAGCCAGGAAGTTTGCAGCAGAAGGGGGCAGCAGGGACAGTCTACAGTCACTCTCCAGGTATGGAGAGGTAGGTAGGAGGAAAGCCGGGGGGAGCAAAAGTCCTTGGGGAAGGGTTCACCCAGAGGCGTTGCCGGCAAGAAAGTCTGTGAAAGGAAGGCAGAGTAGAACGAAGCCCAGGGAAAGAGCAGCATGGGGATGCCAGACGAGGAGAGAGCTGCTCCCCAGACCTAGTCGCAGAGAGGTGCCCCAGTGGCGAGGGTACCCCATTACAGGCCTGATAATTAGGGTTGACTGGGGAGGTGTGGACTGTTCTCCCCCACCCCGTTCCTTATTCCCAGGCACTAACCGGGGACCCACTCCTACTCCCGGTTTTTGCCCTTCTCTTTCCGGCTTGCGCTCCCTGCATAGCGTTGCTTGTACGTACATGTCAGCAATCTGCCGCTGTTTCTGCTGATTCAGGAGCCTTCTCCCACGCAGCTGCTCACGCTTCTTCGATGCAGACCTCAAAGAATTCGAGGAGGTATGGCCCCCGGTGTAACATGAAACCTCTTTAACAGGGAATTTAAAAACATCCTATCACAGTTTCACTTACAGCCATGTCATTACACCCCTGTAATGCTTTAGCCACCAGCTGGGCGAGCAAAACAGCCAGGCTCCATCCCTCAGGGATGTTCTGTACGCTGCAGATCCTTTCAAAGGTGGTCAGATTGGCATCAGCACCATCCCTTGCTCTGTAACTAGGTCACGGTTTGTCCCCGCCATGTGGTCCTGGCATAGGCGGAGCACTCGGCTCTCCAACGCGTCGCTATTTCTGCCACCTGTTTCTGCTTCTCAGCTTCCAACTTTTGCTTCCCGGCCTCCAGGGCTCTCTGGTGTGTGGCTTTTAGGGCTGTCCACTTCCCGCCCTCCGGCTCAATTTCCTTTTCCTTCTCTGCTCTCTCCAGCCTTTTGGACCAGCCTGCCTGTACCTACCGGAAAAGTCTCAGTTCCTCAATCATGGGTGGTGGATATAATATGGTGCAGCCACCGCTGTCCCACTGCGGGATGCCTGGGCCGTGGTGGCCCTGCCCATAGATGCTGACTCTGGGGGTGGTCCGGGGCTGGAGCACCCACGGAAAAAAATAGTGGGTACTCAGAACCCACCAGCAGCGTCTCTGGTCATCTCCTCCCCCCTCTCCCCAGTGCCTCCCGCCAGCGGCTGATCAGCTGTTCAGCGGCGGGCAGGAGGCGCTGAGGGGGGAGGGGGAGGAGCGGGGGCAGGAAGAGGCGGAGTGAGGGTGGGGTGCACTCGGGGGAGGGGTGGAACTGGGCGGGAAGAGGCAGGGTGGGGGTGGAGTGGGGGTGGGAAGAGGTGGAGTGAGAGTGGGCCCTTTGGGGAAGGGGTGGAGTGGGGGTGAGGCCTGGGGCAGAGCAGGGGTGGAGCACCCCTGGGGAAATCAGAAAGTCGGCACCTGTGGCCCCGCCTGCCCTCTGCCTCTTCCCCTCCCTGCTCCGCCCCTTCCCCAAGGTCCCCACCGCCAGCCACTGCCTGGTGAGTCTCCCTCCTCTCCTCCACTCCACCCCCCTCTCTGGAGGTCCCCACCGCTCATCGCATCCCTCCTCTCCTCCACCCCTCTCCCCCATGAGACTCCCCTGCTGGGGCTGGGAGCAGGGCCACAGCTTTGAGTGGGGGGCACGGATGGGGTAAAGGGGCCGAGGCTGGGAACGAAGCTGCAGCCGGGGACCGAGGCTGGGGGTGGGGCTGGGAGCGGAAGCCGCAGCTGGGCCGCAATCAGGGGCCAAGGCCGGGGGTGGTGCTGGGAGTGGAGCTGCAGCCCGGAGCCAGGAGCTGAGCTGGAGCAAAGCTGGGGGCGGAGTGGGGCTGGGTGGTGCTCCCATCCTGCCCCTCATGGGGACTGGCCCGGGCCCCGCCGCGTCCTCCCTGAATATTCCTCCAGGCCCCCTTAAGGGGGCACGCACGCCCCACTGTTTGGCGACCTGGTCTAGAGATACAGGAGAGGATGCGTGAGCCCACTGGAAACAAATGGTTGCCTCTCAAACAATATCACACCAGGCTTTCTAGAGACTAAACCCTGCCAGGTTAACCTTCCATCTAAAGAAGTTTCTCTCACCCAGGGTGCTCTGCAGCGTTTTCAAACCACGGCTGGCTGAGATCCCGTTTTCGTGAATGTAAACGCACACCCCGTTTATGTCTAGGTACAGGGCGTGGGGGTATCTTCTTTGCCTCCTACCCATAGCCCCCAAGGTTCATCGTCTGTACAGGATAACCACCCAGGGCTGGATTTGCCCCGTGTGCTGCTTTCACGTCCCTTCGTTAACATTTTGCCTTCGATTGTAAAAGGGCTTCCGTTGGTTTAGCGTCTGATGCTTAATTAACATCCCAAGAGAGAGAGACACATTTCATACCCCGGGTCTCCTTTGTTGATGTAGAGTTTAAAAACATATGTTCAGTGTATTCCTACCTAACTCCTTTCATAGTGCCTGGACGTGCATTTCCCAATGATAATGGGTGACCCCAGCTTTCACTGAAGACCTCCCATGATATTCTTTGGCGATCCAGAATGGACATATCAGAATTGGGTTATCCCTGTAACCCCCTGGCCAGCTGGCCTGAATGGGTTCTGGGGGTCACACCTCCGTGACCCTAAGAATTTCCCAAGGCCGGAGGGCAAGGGGCTTCCTGGTATCCAGCAGTGGATTTCAGCTGGCTTGGTCAGTGTACCCCAACTCATTGGATCCCCCGCTTGCCTCCCCCACCCATCGCTCCTGGCCTCTGCTGCCTCCCTGGACTCCCCACCCCATCCCCAGCACCCTGCTGCTTCCCCCACATTGCCCCGACTGACTCCCCAAGCGCCCTTCTGCGCACCCAAGTCAGGCTAGTCCAGACTCGTACCTGAGCAGGTAACGGCGGCTGCCGGCGAGGAAGGGACGGATTCATCCGGCTTCCCCGCGCCCCCAATGGGTCCTTCAGCCAAGGGGGTGGGGTGGGGTGGGGTGGGGCGAAGTTTCTGGGAACAAAAGATCAGTAAGAAATCAACCTTGAACCAAGCCTGTAGCTTGCTAAGTTACGCCTTAGCCATTAGAAAGTGTATTTTATTTTTGTTTGTGACTGTGACACGGGGCCAGAAAAGGTTACATAACTTGCAGGCTAATTGACCCAGATTCAACCTTTAGAGACATATTAATAGATAATGTTTGTGTTTTTGTATGTTTACATATATATTGTTAGGGGTTAACAGTGTAACCAACTGGGTCCTATCTATCGCTGTATTCTGTTAATTCAGAGATCAAAAGGAGATGTTAACGTTTAGATGAACTGTGAACATAGTGAGAGCATTGTCTTGATTTCTCTTTGAAGTATATAGCAACTCTCCTGCAAATGATGGGAGACAGGCAATTGCCTTATGTTAATCCATGGAGCTAAATACCAGTGGGGTTAGGAAATAGAAGGGCACTTCAGAGACACTGTTGTTCACCCAAGGACTGCATGCGGTCAAGAGGCAGCCCAGAAAATTATAG